TAGGCAAATGCTGAGGCAGTAATATTCCACAGATAATCTTTCATTCTCTTCTGTCTTCATTTCGTCCGTCTCGTCTTTCTCACCCGAACCACCACCCACCCATTCCCACGATTCCTGAAAACAGGCTGAAGAGGGCCTTCCGCCCTACCTTCCGGCATAGCCCGGAGGGACTGCCCGCCCACCAGCATTACTGGCTGGTGGGAAGGAAACACCCAAAAGTTTTTTTCTGCCCGCCACAATGGTTTCTAAATTTCTCATGAATGCTTCTTCCTCGCGTACGGTTAGCGCTATTGGAACAGCAACATATCGATAGAATAGATGTTTATTGCTAACGGTGAAACGGAAAATATTCCTCGTTATTTTTCTTGGATGCCCCCTTCGTACAAATAATACCTAAACAGGTACGTAGCCGGGAGGATGGGTCAAAAAGCTGCCCCCCCCCCCGCGAAAATTCATTATGTATGACATATTTGGGCTTTTTTATGAAGTCCTTAAAATTTACAAGAAACGTTTTGAATGTGTTGCCGCATTAAAAAAACCGAACAGAATTTTTTTTTCATCTGACTTGAAAATCTTTAAAATTTACAAAAAACATTTTGAATGTGTCACCACTTTAAAAAGACCGAAACAAAAAACTACTTTCACTCGACTATACGTCCAATGTTATATGCTATATTGTATATAAACTTTTAATACTAATTAAAAAGCAAACCTAACCTAAACAGTAAACGCATAATAGCGAAACACAAAATCTCTCAAGGAACTTGGCCTATGAAGCTGAAATTTGGCGAGTAGGAAACATCAGCTAAGAATGAATATTGTGACAGAACTTAATTAAGATGTAACGGTTCAACTTTATATGAATGTCCGACGTTTTTACTGCTGGAGACATTCTTGTTATTTTATAGGAAATTATTTACGACCGTGTATATTTTCGAAGACGACTTTCCAAAAATCAACAAAGAACGAAACATTCTCACAGTTACATATATCACATAATTTTTGCTTTTTTAACTATTAAGTACCCCTCTCCCCGGGAACAATTCCGTTCTATAGACCTATACCTATTAGAAGAAATTAATTAAGTATGAAATTAAAATCCAGCTATAGAAACAAACACTTTAACTACTTTAAAAAATTTATACGAATTTTCGTTTAACTTTAGAACGAAATGGAAACGACAAAATCAAATTCGACTAGAACAGATTCGACAACATACATCAGTAGAATCGGAATATCTAACGGCAACATCAACTGCATCGTCACTTAGAAATACAGAAGACGCATCCGGTTGTTGCTCGTCATTAGCCGCACGGTTTGGAGCTCAGTCTCCCTGTAGCTTCCTCACAACAGCAGCGGCAGCAGCTATTTTCCATAATGTCACGTATATTCACGGTTGTCAAATGTAAAAAGAAAAAAAGGTATTATGTGTTTCTTTTATTTGTTAGGAAATGTGTCTTGAAGTTACCCGAAATTTTATACATATCTGCAGCTACTCATATAAATACACACTTCTGTTTTTCAAATACTATGTATTGTACACGCGCTTTAACGTGACACAGAAGCAATAAAAGTGGGACGGTACATGGGCACTGTCAGTGCCACACTGAGAATGGAATTAGCCTCTCATATTCACTCCTAACCTTTAGTAGTAAAAATTAAGGAGATTGTAAGACTGTATCAAAACGGCCGTGATATGTGCAATAAAGAACAAAATATTTATTAATAATATCTAATATTATGATTAATCCAAACTCAAACCAAAGAAAATTTATACAGGGAAGGTAATTATAAAAGTTTGACATTTTTTAAGTCTGATGGAAGTGAATTAAATAAAGAATCCCAAAACATTAATGTTTCTTTTAAATGGTAGTGATAACATTAAATCGATTAAACCCCCTTTTAAAAAATATTTGATGCATCCCAATTTATAATATAAGAGCGTTTCATAACTATAATAATTTACTCATAATACCTGCTCAACTTATTAATTGGACAAGTGAAGGTCTAGCAGTACTCATAAGTCAAAAACATTACAAAGATTTCTTTAGATTTATTGCTCTTATACCACGTTAAAGCGCGACAATAATACGTTTACCAGAGTGGCGAGTTTAAGAGAAAGCAAATGAATAGTTACCACCTAGGTTGGCTCCACAAAAATGACAATTTTTGCAGTTCTGTCAAGTTTCTTTTTTGACAGACATGTTTTATAGTCACAATCTCACAGTAGATCGTATATCCAACAGTAACTGGATTTTTGTATAATAAAACTTATTTATACATATACTACCTATACTAGACACGCATATGTAACTTTTCGGGGCGGAATCATAGCATCGATTTTAATAAGACCCAAGCATTCGGGGCGGAATCATACCCCACCCAAAAATTGTAACTCTTGATACTAACCGGTTAAGTAGAGACAATTATAGATATTGAATAAATAATTTGTTTGAACATTCTTTTTCTGTTTTTCTTATTAAAGATGACTCATTGAGAATATATCACCGAAGGTTAAAAAATATTTCAATGCCTCTGAAAGTATACGTATTTAACCGATGATAAGTATCTTGCTATAATTTGTGGTATGTTGTATCAAATGGATTTATTTAGCTATACAATAGCGAGCAATAAGTAGATGAAACGGGGAGAGTGAATGCGTTTTGGTCCTTCATCCCTTTAACTTATTCAAATAGGAGCGATGAGCTGGTAATTTCGCCTCATTTAGACAAATCAGTGCGGATTGAAATAAACGTAATTGAAAGCATGCCTTACCAGGCTGCTGCTGGGAACCGCTTGGTCGGAAAGTTTTGTTTCAATCAGCAGCCATTATACGATTTAGGGGTTGGAGCCTGTCGGGGGCGTTCAGTATATCCTCCCTCTCATCTGCGCTGCTCTACGCTCATCCAGCAGCGTCACCGTCGTGCTTTTAAACATCTCGAACCGCAACTAACAAGCATTACAAACAGTCAAATGATATGTTAATTGCTGTATAACTAGAGGGTAAACTTTCAGAGACCCGCCCAAGGGTTTCTCATCGCCCTGCCAGCGTAGTAGCTTGTTAGCGCCTGGAAAGGCGCGTTCACGAATAACATGAATTTCGATTGCAGCATTTGCATCGTAATTGACATAAAACGAGCGTTGCCTATTACGTGCCTATTCATAAGGTACTGAATTTCAAAATTTACTCTTAAACACGTTTTTTTCTTTTAATAATATTTAAGTATTTATCCAGTGACGTAGCTGCTTTCCAGTTTATACATATGGAATAATGCGTACCTATGCCCTAACGCCGATCTATCAGTCCTTCATACGAAGCTATGCACCTACGTGCCCTTGCACTGATTCCTTAATCAGTAGAGTTAACTTTTACCCCTATTTTGGCTTTGATTCTTACGAAAATACCTTAAATTGAGTTATGTACTATTTTAGATTTTACTTATTAGTCCCAATATACATACATACACTTATTATAACTGTTACACGGGTCAAAAAAAAAAGAATTTAAAGGTATCTATATTATACATATATACAAAGACTGAAAGTGCCCATTCAACCAAACAATAGCTCTTTTTGAATACGATCGATATTCCGCGGCACCAAATAGATCTTGGAGCCTTTCACGTGTGACTCCAAATCTGGCTTTGGTATACAAGCTAGGTGTAGCCGTGAATTCTTCATACTAGTGATCCGGAGATCAAACCTGTATAATTCTAATCCGTACATCTTCGTGATTGTCTCAAGCGTATGAAGTAGGTAAATTGAAATGGACAACTTGTAGCTTTCCACTCGGTGCGCGTCTGATCCGGTAGATAACATCATTTATTCACTTGACGATTTTGTATGGATCTTCCCAATGCTATTGCAGATTTGGTGATAGACTCCTTTGAGCCGTGAATTGTACAGTCACAGCAGGGTATCCTTCTTGGAATCTTTCGTCAATGGCTCTTATATCATAGGTGTCTTTCGTACGGTCGCTAGCTATCTGCACGTAGAAGCACACTTCTTTGTGAATATGGTCAAGTCGTTTTCGGAGTTCGCTGACGTAGCCTTTTCCAGCAACATCCTCGCCAGGTTTACAACCAAACTTTAAGTTGCATGGTAGTTCCCGGCCGAACAGTACTTTTGCCTGTGTATATCCAGTAGTTTCATGAATCGGTGATCGGCATATGCCATAAGAAACAACGGCAGATAACGATCCCAGTCTTTATGGTGTTTGGAGACAATCTTCGAAAAATACCTGTTAATGGTCCTGTTCGTTCGATCAACCATTCCGTCTGATTAAGGATGCAGAGATGTAGTCCGGGTTTTGTGATGTCCTGGAAAAGGCGGATTCCAAGTTTCGACCCTGGTCAGTGTAGATCTCCATTAGTATACCGAGTCGACTATTCCGCTACTATGGTGGCTGTCTGCTAGGGAAGAGCGTAGGCTTCCACTCATTTCGTTAAGTAATCCATTGTTACTGGATTACAATTCTCTCAAAATTACCTGCCGACATTATACTGGCGCATGGGACACGCTGTCGTGTGTGTGGTACCTTGCAGGCTACGCGAGTCGTGTACTACCTACACCAGTCTTCAACGTCTTTCTTGCAGCTGACCCTGTAAAACCGTTCGCGTGTCCTTCTAAAAGATCTTGATAACCCCAAAATGTCCTCCTGAAAAACCGTCATGAAGATACTGACAGACTTCATTCTCTAAACTTCGCGGTACGATCAGTTGTTGTCTGCGCTCAGTACCATACTGGTTTTCCACCAATCGTTTCAGGGGACCGGCTCGTAACATTCTAATAAGGACCTAGTTAGAGACTTGTTCAACCTTAATCATGCCAAGCTGCTATTGCTCATCCGTGACAGTTATCCGTCTAACTTCCTTGTGCTACTCGACGCTTCTAAAGTACTTCCAATTTTCAAGGCGACGTATTCCTTATAAAGCAGTCGGCATTCTTGTAGATATTTCCAGATCGGTGTTCGATATCAAAATCGTATTCTTGGACCAAAATAATTCTTGGAGCTTAACCTTAAGGAGTCTCAAAATTTAGCAACCGAAGCAAAAACTTCCTCCCATACATATACTTGTAAAAATGTTCTACCCTCTTCGCTACGGCTAATTGTTTTCGTTTGGTTACACAGTACGCAGTTCCGTTCAGGATTAGATTCAATTCTGCTGAAGTAGCCGATAATTTTTTCTTCTTCTGAGAGCACAACACTTATCTCAGAACAAATTTCCCAGCTGGTAGAGAATAACTTGGCACAGGTATGGTGCTTTAGCATGACAGCCCGACACCCAACCGAATGGTCTATTCGCTTCGATAGAAGTCGTGTCAAACCTTAGCAATATTGACAAATCCAGGAACATCTATAAAATGTACTAAGTCCAAGGAAATTTCCGACTTTATGTATGTCGGTAGGTACTGGCCACTCCTGCACCGCTTCTGCGTTTCGACTAAAACGCCGGTCTTTGAAACTCCACGCCGCAGGTAGTAGTTGACTGATTCTTGAAGCAGCTGACATTTCTTGGGGCACTGTTTCAGATTGACATCTCGAAGCCTTCGGAATATCTCTTCCACTGAAGTCTTTTCCGATCACAATGATGTCATTGAAGTGTACCAGGCAAGTCTCAAGGATGTTTCCATGAGCTGTTGGAAAATATGTAGCTGGCACGTTGAATAAATCGAAGTACGTTACATAGTTCAATTGGCGGTAATCTACACAATAACGTGTCGACCCATCTTCCTTTTTAATTAATACTACCGGCGACGTCCAAAGGCTGCACAATGTTTCTATTACCCAATCTTTTTGCATATCCCGTATAATATTCCTGTTAGCCAGTGATAGCCTCCTCGGTCTCTACTGGATAATTTGCGCTCCGCCTGTGTTGTTGCCATTTTCTAATTCGAATACATCTTGGTATTGTTCGAGTAATTCCATTGGATTGAGAATTTCGTTGGCTTTTCTCTACCAGTTACTTACATTACACTATAACACTAGCTAAACTTTTGTACTACTTCTTATTTATATCACACGTTATTTATAATGCTTATATACTTGTCACTGTGTTTATAACTCTCTGTAGTCGCCTGTATTCAATCATCAATGTATTGATTTTCGCATACACGTTTGTACGTTATAGTTTATAGCAGGGAATCAAGGAATAAGTTTGATGGCTACCTTACCTTAAAGACATTGGCTCCGCCACTTTTAAGATCATTATTCATTATGGATCAGCTCAAAGGAAATTAAAATTTTACATCCATGTACATGGTTAGCTTGTTGGTCAACATACATACTAGGTTCTAGGGTGAAGTTTCAAGAAGGTTAAAAAAACTGACGGACTTATAATAAGACTAACTTTGACTACTGATACTGGTTTTTTCAATAAGGTAACCCTAAATCGAAATTAAAGAAAAGACGTGTTACTTAAAATATTGCAGATTTCATTGATTAATTGAATAGATTGAGCGATTTGGCAATTAACAAGATAAGTACCTACAGATACGTAAGCAGATAGAAAATTAAGCACACGACACGACAGATAGACAAATGCAATACTCGAAAGGCAATTGTGCTGATGGCTGATGATTTTCTTTTGGAAAATTTTGATCCTTATAGAGGACAATGGTCGGGCACCGATGTTGAGTGGTTGCACGAGGCCATTATAAGGAAAAGCATCAAATGCTTGTAGTAATGACCATCAGAACCCTCGTTTCTTTTCACTCGACATAAAGGAACAAGAGCATGCATGCTTACTCTTGATTGAATTTCAATACAAATTGACTTTATTATCGTTCAAGATTACCGTTTGTATTTATTTAACACCATGTTGACGCTCAAAATAAATCAGTGGATTATGTATATTGCACATTCAATAGATACTAATCGATTATACACGTATAAGTTCCATTATAAAATTAAGAATGACCGTAAAAAGCTTTAAATATTCTGAATTAACGGAATTATTTTATTTTATGGAAATTTAGATAATTAACTTTTTTTAAATATTAATAAGGAAACACATTTTTTTATATTTAATGTGTTTATTTTCTTTACAGTTTTTATTAAATTCGAAATTTGAAAACTAAATATTAGGTACGCTCTGTGCTATTAACTGCTTTCAAATAGTTTACCATGTTTAATTTAGAGGAGTTATCGAGTAAATTTTTTGGAACTTTTTTGCTAATCTTCAAAATTTTGTATCATTCTGTAAACATATAAAGATCATTACATTCTTGGTCAGCAATTTATCGAAATTGCCGGATGGGGATCGCGATTTCCAATTATACGTTATTTAGTACTCA